ACTAGCTGATAATCCAAGTGAAAGCATATTTTTAAGTCTGTAATCCAAATTGTATTATGAACCAGCAATCCAAAGGAAATACAAACTAGAAATTGTTGAGCTCAAAAATAAACAGGAAGGAGCTGTTTACTGATATAACAAATAACAAGTACACAGAACAAACATTGTTACAAAATCAGCGCACTCAAATACATTTTGACCCAGTTGAATTATAGTAACTCTGGAACAATTTTAGAAGTTTGTGAATAGACTAGACAGATTGTGTTGTTCCTCAGTTAGCGGAAATCTCTTACCAGAAAAGTTTGGAAGGAATAAAATCTTTTTATCTGTGACTAATAAACTTTTTTTTTTTTTGCGGAACTGGGGATTGAGCTCAGGCCCTTGCACTTGCCAGGCAAGCGCTTGTTCTCCTGAGCCATCTCCCGGCCCCCTTTTTTTTTGTACAGGGAATTGAACTCAGGACTTTGTGCTTGCCAGGCAGGCACAGTGCCTCTGAATTACATCACCAGCCCCTTGCCACCATTTAAAAAAGGAAGATAGCTCAGTGGACTAAGCGCCAGCTTAGGCAAGCGCAAGGACCTGGGTTTGAACCCTGGTACCAAAATCAGGCGTGGTGGCGCACGCCTGTAATCCCAGAGCTGGGGAGGCTGAGACAGGAGGCTCGCTAGGAGCCCGAACTGCGTAGTGAGACCCTGGACCAAGTAAATAAATAAAAAAGATTTTTTAAGAAGCAAGACAGTTTCATTAGCTATATAATCTAAAATGAGTTGTTGTTTTTTTTTTTTAAATATAACTCTAAAAAGCTAAAGTTGTCACTGAAATATTCATTTTTTTAAAATAAGGGGCAAAGTGTTAACTTATGGAAAATATGATTTATTTATTTATAACCTGGGATCAAACTCAACATCTTATGCTTGCCAGGTAGGACAGGCACTTAAGCCACTGAGCTATCTCCCCAGCATCCTCCTCCTTTTTTTTTTTTTTTTTTTTCAGTATCAGGGATCAAACTTGGGACCTTACACTTTCTAGGCAGGTGTTTAAGCCACTGAGCTATATCCCCGGTCCAGTAATATTTTTAAATATCCCATTATTGTAAATCTTAGGAAATATGATTCTTGGTTTTTCTTCCTTGGCTGGATTTTTTTTTTTTTTAGTTTGGAAGCAGATACTTTATTAACTGACCAAATCATAAAAACCTCGTGGTAGAACCTTAGTTCATCCTTCTAGTAAGCCTGCTGATCTGGTCCTCCCTATTTCCAGCAGCTCCACCTCCCA